TCCCGGGCGTCCCAATCAACACATGTCGCCTAGGCTCAAAGTAGGCCCCAGGGTCAGGGCCGAGCAATTCGGTTAGATCATTCCTGACGGTCTGCCACACTCGCTCCACCTCACAGTTCACATGGCAGTCACGAAGGGATTCATCCTCCTCCCACGAGTACGGCCATCCCTTGTCCGAGGTGAGCACCATCAGCCTGAGACGCAGTGCACCGGATTGCTGCACACCGTCATCCTTTTCGAGAGTGTCGCCAACCGCCCTGTACGTCCATGACTGCGGTGGTTCCCCCTCCTCCACCTCCATTCCCGTCCCCTCGCCGCCAGGAACTTCCACGACACGGTGCCACCTCGCATTGTACACAGACTCGTAGCATCCCTCCAGGTATATCGGTGCACTCGACTTCTTTGGGTTCCTCGCTTCCTCGGCGGCCGCATCCAAGAACCTTTTAGTGACTCCATGAACATTTGCCTTTACCTCCGCAGCAGCCACCAACCAATTCAGTAGATTGTCCACACCTTTCTCGTAAAGGTTGTGTACATCCCCTTCCATATCCATTTCATCCCGTACAGCCCCCTCCATCCTCTTGTAACGATCGGATGCCTGCATTTCGTCCAATACTCCCGCATCGCAAATGTACTTCTCGGGGTTCTTAAAAAACTCCTCCAGTAAGACATCCCGATTGGCGTCCAAAGCGCCCCTGCCGTCCAATTCCATCGCAAGAAAGTCATTCAGCTTCATTTTGTCCACGCGAACCCTTCCTTTAAACAACACATACTTAATCCTGGTGGAAACGTCAATCCCCAGTTCTTGTCGTTCTCGCCTTTCCCTTTCTTCCGCCTTCCGTCTCTCTCCTCTCAGTACATAAGAGTAGGCTGTGTTTATTCGTGCCCTTGCAAGAGGAGTGACCGTATCCCTTTCTTCAAAGTCCCTCCATTGCCTGAGAGTGACAATATATTCTTTTTTAAGCTTATTTGAAGCCCCCAATAGCATGTAAAACTCCTCACGCTCTTTTTCCAGCTCTTGATATGGCGGCGATGCCTCTATTGTCCTCAATAACACTTCGTCGTAGATGATATTCGTGGAGCTAATTAAAAGCTCTTCCATAGAGACGTTCTCATTGAATTCCTCAACGCCCCTGCCGCCAAAATAATTCCGAAGGAAGTCATTCAGCCTCATGTTGGTGATGCGTTCCCTTCCCTCCAGCAGCACTTTATCCAGCCGACTTTCAAGAGCCCATTGCGGTTGCCGTATTTCCTCAACTCCTCTGCGAGCTGCAGCGTCGGAACCATCAGAAGAGCCACGGCGAGGCACCATCACAACACCCGTGCGGTGAAGCACCCACTCGCACCGCCCAACTGCGGCCAGCAGGTGCCGCTGGCTCCAAAGGACACTCGCGGCTGTCTCCTCCCGCAGTCCCAATGACGTTGGGCGTGGCGCTCGCACGGCTCGATGGTCGGTGCGCCATGCAGTCGCACTGCGACGCCTGTCGGCAAAACAGCCGAGGCCCACCACCCCCGCAGCAACACGAGGCGTGCAACCAACCCCAACATACCGCCACATTATCGCCCTTTTTTATTTTGTTTTATTCACGTTGTCGGTCGGTTTGCCTCATCACCGACAATAAAAATAACTCCGCACTCTCGCAGAGGAAGAAAAAAACGCGATCCCACCGTCCCGCCGCGGGTCAACACTCTCGTCCACCCACCGCCATCGCCGCACAGGGGACCGCAGTCACATCGCAGAGTCAGCACCACAATGTGCACCACACCACCGTGCAGTGAACGATGGGCGAGACGCGGCCACGCACCGCTCCATTTTCCCACCCCTCAAGTGTTGCGTGCCCGCAAAAAGTGGCAAACAGAATCAGAGTGCACACAAACCCAATCATCCCACTCACTCGCTGAAGCACATTATTCGCATGGAGTGACAACATTTGGGGGTACACCAGCAGTAGCTGGCTGCATGGAATTTCCCTGCCAACCCTGTGAATACACACAACAACTCTGCGGAATAAAAGTGACAACCCCTCGGTGTTGCCCGCAGTTCACATGGCAGGAAGAATTCCACGCACGCATGGTTCCGGACTCCTCGCTGTTTGAGTGCACGTCAACAGTACGCGTAAAAAATACTTGCGTGCAAGACGACATTTAAGCACATGAAAAGGTCGGCCCGTTTTGTTTGATGGCGTTGGCGAGCACTCCCACACAATCCAATCAAAGTGGCACGCCGGACAGAATGGCGTCCGTCAATCAATAAAAAAATGCGACACTGAAAAGGAGCAGAGAAGAGTTGGCACATGCGATTGCCAGAGACAACTGTGAGCAATCCCGCCAGCACCAACTGAGGTGCCGAGGAGCACGTTTGTGTAGAACTGGTCGTCAGGCAGAGAGGACAAATAAAACAAAAGGGCAGCAAACCCTCTCGTTCAATGTCTCCTGACCGCGACACCAGAATCAAAATACAATGGACGATAAGAGCGGCAACGCCTTCTCCAAAACATCTTGTCAAGAGGCCGCAGGATCTCAGGAAGGGAAGAAGGCAGCGGCGGCAGCCACGGCGGGGGAGGCAATAAAACGGCTGGCAGGCACCCTCACGTCGACGCGCACACCACATCCGAGTGGGCTGGGAGCACAGATCAAACCGCTCGGAAACACACGCATCAAATCCGCAAAATAAAGTCGCGTTGAATCGACAGGAACTCCCCGCCCAAAACAAATTTAAAAAGTAGCGTTTTTCAAGGGGGAATCCGCTTTTCCGACGGCGGCACGGACGCCTCGCAGGAATTTCTTGCAAATCTCCCTTCGCAAGTCCGCAAGAAAACGCAGAGGAATATAAAGAGAGCGCAACGACGCAAAAAAAATAATCCTCTCAACCGACCAGGTGGCAGGCCGCCCTCGCGCAAGTGGACAAAACACAACTTCACTCCGGTCTTGTGGTGGTGGTCGTCTCACAACATTTTTTTCCTTCTCGTCGCAGTGCACATCCCCCTCCCTCAAATCATTTGTTCGGGCCATGTTCCTGCGGCCAAACATCGCGCTGCTGGGTCCCGCGGCACAGTCCTCGGCACAGAAGTGAGGCGAGGAAGAGGGACCGCAGAAGGTGCGAGCAAATCCAAATTCGGTGGCGGTCGCTGCAGTGAAGATTGACGTCCCACGCGGTGTCCCTTTTCTAGGTCCGGTCCTCACCGTGCCATGCGCTCAGCGTGCGGTGCGCCGGCCGCTCCGAACATCCACACGTGCAGCAGCATAAATACACCGGCCCACTAGAGGCCGTCACCAGCCATTGCAGGAAGACCACTGTGCCTCGGTGCTATAAAACCCGAATTGCATTGACGGGCCACTTCGGAAAATCCTGTCGCATCCTCCCCAATTATGCGGAAACACATCCGTCGTGCATGTGTCCACCGCAGCCAAATGAATCCGGTCCAAATACCCTCCAAATCAAATTCCCCTTTTCTCGAGCCATTCCCTCATTCCATACGCCCTGACCCTCATCCGCACGTGCTCACTCACACAAACCGCCATAGACAGATGGCGGCCGTCCAACGCTCCGGAAAAACATGCCCAGCACGCACGCGCATAACAAATGACATGCGCAAACGCACGGCACAACGGTGGAGAAGCGCACACCGAAAGGATGCGGCCCTCCACAGCAGTCGCAGCCCACCGCGCGCATCACACCCGCAGGAAGAGTGACTCGCGGTGCGCGCTCCCTCTCTCCTCCTTCCCTTGATGCCCACGGAGGAAGCAGCAGCCACCCGCAACCGCCAGCACACGCTACAAAAGAAGCATCCAAATCCACTGCAATGTGCATTTTGTGCGTGCATTTTGTGGTTGTGTGTGCCTGCAGACACACGAAGCAAAGAAAAGCAGGAGCAGAGCATGTGAGGGGACGCACAAAAACAGTACAGCAGAAGTGCATGGCAGAAATAAAGAGAAAAAGACTGCTCAGGCTCATGATATTGCACTGCAGACAAAGCAGCGGCAATTCATAAAAAATTCATTAAAATTAAAAAAAAATTCATCTTCACCCTTCCACACCTCACACTTTGGAAAAAAAAAAAAAAAATTGAAAAAAAGTCGTCCTCTATTACGGCTACACCCAAATGATTAAAAAGAAAAAAGGAAAAGAAAAACCACACACAAAAAGGTGCACCTAACCACCATGTTGCTCCAGAAATTGTCTGCATATATTTTGTCCGCAAAATAAAAAAGATATTTACATGTCTTTCAACCGTCTGACCCTCCATGTGTCCGCACATCGTTTATATTTCATGGGGTCATCTGCGTGTTGCTGCTCCCCTCAGCCCTCTCATCGGCGCGTGAGTGCGGCCCGCAAAGCGCAGTCACTCGTGTGTGTGTGGGGAATGAGAGAAGCACGCAGACATGACGGGAGTCGCGTCACTCCATCGGGAGAGTGAGCGCAGCAAAAGAAAAAGAAATCATCGGAGGGGAGAGAAATGCTCACGAGGCCGACACCGAAGGGTGCGCCAGCGCGAGAAATAAAAAAACACGGCGGCAGGGTGTGGCTGTGTGTGTGTGGCGCTGCGGGTGTCTGCCCGCCCTGGCCGCAAGGAAAACAAAAAAAGAGGAAAAGAAATGTGTGCTCCGCCCCACAGGCCCTCCTCGCACGCCCACACGTCACGGCTCCCTCAGCGCGCCGTTCGTCGCGGCCCCTCCTCATGCGTGCAGCAGGCGAGGCGCACAGGGCCGTCGTCATGAGCGTGTCGGTGGGTGTGCGAGTGGAGCAGTTGGGCGGGAAACACACGGCACCCCTCACAGGAAGAGTGCAGCATAAAACAATTGAAAAGAGGGAAGAGTAGAAAAGAAAAAAAAAACCGCCCATAGTGATTGCCCTAAAGCAGCAAGGGGAAAATGGAAAACATTAAAAGAAAACAAAAACAAATTATTCTCTGCGTAGTGAAATTTATTCCTAGCGGTGTGTGTGTGTGTCGGTGCAGGAGTTGGGGGTGCAAGTGTTCCACACTGAGGCCGCACACTCCTCACGCAGCCGCAAACCCCCACAGTCCCAGCAGAAGCAGCAGCGGCAGCACCCTCCCGTACGCGGAACCAGCATTACCATTTGCCCCACCATCACCCGTTTCTCGTGCCGTCCCTTCATTCCCAGCAGAAGTCAAGCTTCCCGCTGGCGCATGTTGGGTATTGGCGGTTCTCCCCACAGTTGTCCTCCCCGGTGCTGCTGGTACTTCCCGTGGGCCAGGCACCGCAGGTCCAGCAGGTGCGATGGTTTGAGGAACGCCTCCCACTTGTGGTTCCGGAGCTCTCTTTGGAACGGGTTTCCTGTCCTTGATTGCAGTCATCTCAGTGGGATTCAGTGGGCGATTGTACAGAAAGACGTTCTTCACCGTCACAGGAAAGTTTTTTATACCGCACGCACCAAAGCAGAAGTGCACAAGCTCAAGTGGTTTCTCACCTGTTAGCAGCGTTTCCTTTTCCCCCAGCGACTGGCCATCAACGTACATGGAGCTCTTGTTGCCTTGCAGCATGAGTGCCACTTGGTATTCTTTCCCCGACTCCCAAGTGCTGCTCCTTGTTGTTTTTGTGCCGTTGAAAATTGTCTCCCACTTGTTATCCGCGGTATACAAGATTCCCATGGTATACGAGGAATTGGTGTCCCCCCACATCGCACCCAGCAGAGGAGCGTCCGCACTCGGAGCATTTTTGATGGTCACCGTCGCCACAACTGTGAAGTCGTGGCTCAAAAACACATGCCGCAAATTATCATCCCGAGTGTTCACAGGCCATAGTACCCCGGAGTTAGACTCCGTCAGCTGCATCCCCTCTTTGACCTTCGTGGCGTTCGTCACCGTTGCATTCAGGCAAAGGTACTCGTCGTTCCACCTCCCATCACTGGCCTCATCGGACAAAACTGCCACCAGACCCGCCGTGGGTATAGAAAAGCTGGAGAAGAAAATGTCCTTTTGCGACCAAGTACTGAGGACGGACTTGATTGTACTCAGTTCATCCGTCAGGCGGGAAAGTGACATGAAACTGCCTTCACCACTGTCCCTCCGCTGTAAAAGATGCAGATTGCCACCCGAGTACAGCAGGCTGCTGGCAAGCTCCTCCCTCAGAGCAGCATTGTCCATGCCAACCGGTCCAAAATGAAACGAGCGGTTGTTATCCGTGACCCAAACGTAGAGCGCAGTGGCTCTTTTCTCACCCGAGGCGTACCCTCTCTGTGTGTACAACATGACCTTCCTGCCCTCAATGGTCGCGGTGATGAAGGCTTCCACGTGCAAGCTCAGATACCAAAAGAATGATCTTGATTTGACCCACACGCCTGAGAGCGTCCCGATGGCCTCCGTCCACGATCTCCCCATGTCTCGCGACTCGTACACCTTCTGTTCATCCTCGCAGTCAACAATCATGAGAAGTGATCCCTCCCACTCGGTGATGCGGGGGTTAAGACATTTCGCAGGGGACATGCCCTCAGAGAGCGCCCAGGTACTGCCGTCGTCCTTCGAATAAATGATCATGGAGTAAATGTCACTATTTCCGCTCTTCGCCATCAGTGGAAAGACAAGCGTGCCATTCTCCATCAGAACACCTGAGCCACCAGCGGCAAAAAACTCCTTCAAGTTACCTTCGTGAGCAGCTATAATACTCTCGTTTAACAGAGAACTGATTTGGTCCCATTCGATACGTTCAGTCAGCTCGCTGCTCGTGGGATTCGTGACATCACCCACAACCAGTTTCAGACCCAGGTTGTCCCATTTCCTGCTCCTATTACTTTCCTTGAGCCCACTAAGGCTTCCCGCAAGAAGAAACACCTTATTGCCCTTCGTAGTGGTTGTGGGGCGGTAAAAAACATCCACACGATTATCCGTTCCATCCGTTGTACCAAGCACAGTGTGTGCCTTCCATGTATCTTCCTTGACCTTCCCAACAAGAGTGGACCGATCCCACGAGGAGTCAATGTACTCCGCAACAATATCAGAAGAAATGGGCTCAATTATTTTACCACCTTCAACGACATATTCGGCATACATGAGACCTTCGGCAAAAGCAGCAATTACTCCACCAGCACTGACGAGAGAGGGTGAAGCAAATGCATCCCTCTTCGTCTCTTGAGACGTTCCGCCTTTCGCTACAACCAGCGTCTGATTCGGAAAAAATAGATCGACCCACTGCAGCTTCTGACCATCCCCTGACTTACTCTCCACAGCATTCGAAGCCCCACCACTGCCGCAGCACATCATAACGACGAGGAGAAGCAGCATCGCAGAATTAAACAAATGCCGGGACATGTTGGGCCTTTCCCTCCTCCTTCCGCTGGATCCGGTCACGCGGCGACGGTTGTGTTTATTGAGTAACATGACAACAGCAAAACGTGAGAGCATACAAATATGTGTGTGTGAGCGGTGTGTGTGCTGTTGTTGGTCCTTTCTGAGCCTTCGAATTTCACAGTAGCGATTAGCGTTTGGTTGCTTTCTTTCCTAGCGTGTCTGTGTGTGTTTGTGGAATAAATGGGAAAAGTCACAGGGAGCAGAAAAGACAAGTTGTAACGAAAAACACTGCGCACCGTCAGCAGCAGCGGGCCACGTCCCCACAACAACTCACTCCCACAGAAAAGCGAGGAAGCGCGTGCGTGTGCGTGCCAAGAACACAGCGACCATCATCGCCAAAGGAGGCCATCGTGGCACCGTCCGTCACGCGTCAACGCACCGTGCGACGCACGCACCCAGCAGAAAAAAACAGGGGGAAAAGAAGAATGGCCCCAAGAGCAGGCAACACCTCCACGCACGGCAGGCATCGTGCAGCCGCATCAACCGACCCCAGCGGAATGCGGAAGGCGTCCCGCACACATCCAGCCAATGACACCCTGATTCCCACCGCAGGCAGACACGCAGCGGCCTCGCCACGTCAGCACGGAGACCACGGGACGCACAGTCACAGTCGTCCCGCCGCCAAGAGCCTCCTGCAGAGCACCATACAAATACTTTTGTTTGTGTGTATTTTCTGGAGGAGTAGAAAAGAAGAGGAGCACAGGGAGACGCATCAACAGGGCAGGAGACACAGCTAGATGGCAGCGATACATGCGGCACGGCCCCAACCTCAACAATCACGCACGGTGGCGGCGCAATCACATCCAAAAATGACAAAAAAAAAAACACGGCGGCAGGGTGTGGCTGTGTGTGTGTGGCGCTGCGGGTGTCTGCCCGCCCTGGCCGCAAGAAAACAAAACAAGAGGGAAAGAAATGTGTGCTCCGCCCCACAGGCCCTCGTCGCACGCCCACACGTCACGGCTCCCTCAGCGCGCCGTTCGTCGCCGCCCTCCACATGCGTGCAGCAGGCGAGGCGCACAGGGCCGTCGTCATGAGCGTGTCGGTGGGTGTGCGAGTGTAGCAGTTGGGCGAGAAACACACGGCACCCCTCACAGGAAGAGTGCAGCAACAAACAATTGAAAAGAGGGAAGAGTAAAAAAGAAAAAAAAACCGCCCATAGTGACTGCCCCCAAAGACAAAAAAGAGGGAATGAAGGAAATGAGAGAAAAAAACAATAAAAACATTAAAACAAGAAAAAAAAGTTTTGGTTCGGCAGGACTTTCATGTGCCATGCGCACAAGACGATCGGGGGCGTATACATATTCCCTGCACAAACAAAAAAGGAAACAAAAAAAAAAGGTTGTGCTCTCCCACCAGCCCACACAACATCCCTTATATTCCATGCGGCGTCCGGCCTGCTCCTCCACTCCTCGTTTTGTGCAGTCCGCCGGAAGCGCAGCAGTGACGCCGGCACCGCGAGTGGGCAAAAAAAGGCAAACAAAAGTCGAAAGCACGTCATTCATAACTGATTGTAGCAAACGAGCATAAGAAAAAAAAAAAAAAAACTGAGTATTCGAAAAAACACCAAGAAAAACTGAAAAAGCGGGGAAATATTTTTTAAAAAAGAAAAAAACATTAAAGAAAAACATCAAAAACCGCAAGAAAAGCGGCATTTATTCTCCGTGAGGAGTCGCAATTCAACACTCGTTGCCTCACAAGACTGCGACAGCTCCACACAGTCCCAGAAGAAGAAGAAGCATCGACACCCGAGACACGCACACACGCGCAGTGCTGTCGGCATTCAAATCACGCAGTATCAATTTCGCGTCGTTGAGCAGGGCGAGGCGGTCCTCTTGGCTCGCGCCGCTCCCGGATTCGGAGTGGTTATTTTCTGGAACAGGAGCCTCGCTTTGTTTGGGCAGCAATCCCTCACTTCCAGCCAGAGACGCCATGCTTTCTTGTACTGGCTGCGCATCCCCATCTCCAGTGGTCTCCCTTGACTGCAGGGTTGTTGGGTTTGCTCCCTCCTCCGGCGCGGATTGTTCTTCCTCCCCCATCGAGCTTTCCACTTCCGTAGTGAAGAAATCCTCGCTGTGCGTTGTCCCAAATTCACCTGCTCCTGTAACAGCGGCCGTAGGCAAATTGTTGTTTTCGCCAGAGGCGGCTGGTGCTGCTTCCCTCTCACTGCCTGTTGGAGTGCTGGTATTGTTTCCCGCTTGGTGGTCGTGTTGCGCCACGGCAGCCTCGGCGTCTCCCTGTGGCAATGGCTTCGACTTAAGAGCAGCTGAGTCAGCATCCTGCGATTCGGTGCCACGGCCGGTCTCAATAATCTCTGCAACAGGGACGGGCGCCTCTGGTGAACTTTGTTTCAAGAATTCCGGGCGTACCGTCCTGCTCCACACCCTCTCCTCGCCGTCCCACCGAACCGCGGGAAGGACACTGCCGCCGGTGGCGGATATCGTGCACACCTCCGCGTAGTTAGGGCAAATGACGTTTTCCTTATCGTAGGGTGGTGTGTCCCACGTAATCGTCGCCCCGTCCGTGAATGGAACCCAACTGATGCCGCGCTTTTCAGTCACTTTCAGATGCACTTGCATGCCAAGACACTTCAGTTCCGCATGCATGGCAGCACTCAGATACGTATACCCCGGGTACCTTGCATCTGTCGTGTTGGTGGGAAGCGTGTCCAGACACCACGAAGAGGGCATATCACCAGGCCTCGCAGACAAATATTCTCCCTTCTTAAAAACAGCCTCAAGGTCCCTCACGTCCATCGCGGGATCAATGATGGGGCAACTGTCCATTGAGTGCTGTTTTGACACTTCAATGATACTCCGCTGACACCGACCACTGGAATACCGATCCGACGCGCAGCGTTTGACACCATCGTTTATGTTGCAGAACATGTGGGAATATTTACTCAGGTTCAGTTCGGAGCACCTCTTCTGCAGCAGCTCACAGCCCGACTTCTTGCCCCAACCCATCGGCTCCGCCATCCTCCAGTTCACCTTGAAGTAGCCCAGGTCAGCAAATGCAGCCAGCGTCAGCTCCGTGTAGTAGCCGGCACCCCCAATCGGTGCCATCAACTCATCCTTCGCGTGGCGCTGTGACCAGTGCGACTCCAGCGTCCTCCCGTCCCCATTTTGATCTTGTAGCTCCATGCCATAAATGCCATCGCAGTCGTAGTGCTCCCTCGCAGCCATCGCGGCATTCGTCGAGTTCACCACCACCGACAGCGCCCTGCCACGCACACCGGTAACATTCCTCACCATGCTGCGGCTGGCCATGTGCGGGTGG